TGCCACACATAATAGTCAAGAGTATTGCAGTCTGGGGTATTAGGTGGCCAGATGTAAGATCGCAGAAATTGTCTAACAGCCATGACTGGGGTCTCCTGCTTGTGTGCCGAGTCCTGTTGCCAAATATAGGGTCTTCCAGCAGCCACACTCTTGACCCAGAGCAACACTGCCTCCTCAAGACACTTGATGTAGGCCTCCGTGTTGAGTCTGAGGCTCTGTGGGAAGATGAATGGAAGCATAACTTTGACAACACTAGTGATCACTCTAAACATCTTCGTAATCACCATTAGACTCAACCAACTCTCTCCAAATCCTCTGCACTGTCATCAGATTGACACCCACTCTGAAATGTTCGTACAGCATGCCGTTTAGAAACTTCTGGCGGAGTGAATTGCATTATGGTACTCTTTTTCTCACAGACGGTGCCCAACTGACCCTACTATACTGTGCAGTCGGCAAAATCAAAAACAAACAACGCTCAAGCGCGAAATTAAAAATATAAAATGGCAATAATTTACCCATCGTACCCTGTACGATCGAACTTTCATTTTTTTCTTTTTAAATTGCCATATCCTTTAGGACGTATACTATCATGAATCTTCATTTGTGACTTACCATAACTTATTGCGGAAGATAGTATTGTCATTCCCATTGACTCGCCCACGGTTTTACATTCTAGACTGATTGCGATGAAGGCTATAGAGCTTAGTCTGCCTTATTATTAAACTCATAGCTGGGAGGAGGAGAAGCGATTGATTCATGCCTTTTCCGTAAGAAATTAATTTACATTATAAAATCGACTGGAATTAGGAATTCGAAATCAGCTCGCTGATGCCACATTTTGCTCTGATAAATGTTACGCTATTCTCACGTCCCTCTTCATTTGCTATAGTGATTTTTATTTGGTTCAGGCAAAAATTCTAAGCGTTTCCATTTTGTGTTGAAAACTAATGACTGAATGGGCAATAGAAAATTGGTTTCCAAAACATTTGCAAACATAGTTATATCGTACATATAGTGCTGGTGTTAATGAAACCGTTCTCGATGCAATACAACAGAGCTATTAAGTATATATTAATAAATATACATATTATCCCTCACAGCTAGCACGACTCTGAGTTTTATACACAACGCTGTCTTCAGGTGCTGAGTATGGACTGGCTGTTACTTAATTTGAATTTTAAAGAATATATCTGGTTATCGCAATGTTGGCGCAGTTATATATTATACTGGGATTTTTAATTTTAAAATTATATTTGGCATTTAAAATAAACGGGATTTGTATATGTATGTTTTAAAAAGTTTATTTTTGAGTTGTGAATACTAATTTTAATTAAAGGGAGATTATCTGTTCTTATTTAAAAATAAAAAACAAACAATAATCTGCATTAAAAATAAACAGTAAGTTACATTAAAAAATAATCTGGATCAACGTCTTTAAGCAGATATTTATTTTTAGGCCTACATGTAACCATCAATTCATTTCTCTTATTTAATAAGCTCGGGTTATTTAAGTGTCTTAAGATAACCAATTTTTCAATAAAACATTAGCTAAATCTATTTCTTTTTCCCTTTAGCTCTTGCTGTAACATCCCAGTTGATAAAAGGGTAACAACCAATTCTAATTCTAATTCTCATCCGTAAAACTAGCCCGCGAAATATAGACCGATTGAGGAGGGAACTGATAAGATTTTAAAAAAATTACAAACTAAATATTACCACCACCGCTAAAGTGATTAACTTTCTCGATCTCGATTTAAACTTAGACTTGAATAATGGTTATTATAAAGCATATACAAATGATCTATATCGGTCAGTCTATACTCAGCACCTGAAGATTGCGTTTTTGCATGTAACTCCGAGTTGTGCTAGCGGTGAGGGATAATATGTATATTTATTAATATATATATATATATATATATATATATATATATATATATATATATATATATATATATGTGTGTGTGTGTGTGTGTGTGTGTGTGTGTGTGTGTGTGTGTGAAAATATATAGAAAATAGGAAAGAACTCGTTAGGTAAATAATCCAAAGATCTTTTACTATTTTTGTTATTATTTTTTAAAAAATAGTGCTCGATACAAAAGTAGAGCATAAATATAATTATTTATTTAAAAATATGATTCCAACACGCTACATAAGAGTTCTCATGTTTCAAAACAAGAGCCAAAAACTTCAATATAATTATTTGAATGAATTTAAATTAAAGTAAGCTCTGTTCCATCTTCAAGCGAAATTTTTTTTGGAATAACTTATTTCTGAAATTTACGTGTTTTAATAGCATATTCATTATTGAAATCAAAATTTCCATGGTAACGGCTAGAGCGATTGTTTAAATAGAAAGGGCTGTAGGGTGTTAATCATTTGTATCAGTATAGAGTTACATTCATAGATGTCAAGTCAGGGTAAGGTTGGGGTGTCTAAATTTAAAACGGAAGATGATTTCGCCTAGTTTGGTTTACGTGTCTATGGAGATTTATTTATTTATTTTATTTTTTTTCTGAAAGGGTTTTGTGTATATAAAAAAAACTGCCGTAACATTTGTTTTTTGACGACTTCATAAAGGGTTATCTTTTTTTGTAGGGTATTTAAACTATTTATTAGGACTATGGATTTTAAAAATTATTTTATTGTTTGTTTTATGCTAATTATTCAATGCAAAAATTTGATGATATATATATATATATATATATATATATATATATATATATATTATTATTATTATTATTTAAAAATATGTATTCATCACAACACAGAAATTATCATGTTTCGGAACCTGAAACCAAACTTTAAATTAAGAAGTCTAATTTAAAGTTTAGTTTTTAGTTCTGAAACAGGGTAATTTCTCTGTCGCGATGAATACATATTTTTAAATAATGATATTACAATATTATGCTCTACTGTGTATCAAGTACTGGTTTAAAAATAAATGATAAAAACTGTGGATTATAAATTTGACAGTTCGTTTTGTTTTTATTTTGACACACACATACACACATACACCCAAACATATTCTATATAGATAGAAATTAATTAGAGAAATTAACAACACCTAAAACAAACCCCCAATGGGACAATGGACAATATGGAAACTTTTTGTACTCCCACCAAACGGAAAAATGTAAGAATGCTGGAACAACTTATGAGAATATGTTTATGTGAATATGGGGGGGGAAATAACGGTTAAGCCTAGACTTGAACAGGTTAAGATTGTAGCGATCGGGGAAGCATCCTTTTGGAAGTCGGTTCAACAAAGTATGAAATTTTTGTTACGACCAAAGAAAAGTGTGCCGAACTGTAATATTTGCTGGACAATCTCTGCACAGTTGAAGAAGAAACTTGAAATGATAGAAAAGTGGTTCTACCGACGAATGTTGAGATCCCTATGCAAGGCCGGTACAAGGGTCTCGTCCCCCCCCGAATGTATGATACGGGGCCCTCCCCCATTCTACTGCATTTTCATAAGGTAGTATTCATATGAAATCCAAATTTTATCGTAACCTAATTATGTACATTAACGGATCATATGCAATATAGGTGAACAATTCAACTAAAAAAAATTGAAAATAAATACAATGTAGCTAAATACAAATTAGAAATAACCGACTTTGTGTCACAATGCGACTTCCTGGAGGGGGGGGGTCAAGTAAATACCAAATACAAATTAGAGACATATAATAGATCTTTCCATCTTACATAAATAAAAATGTTTTGCTGCAACTTTTAACATCAACTTGAAATTTTTCTTGTTTAAAAGTTGAATAATTTTAAAACGTTCAACATTATGGCTAACAAATAGTGAAATTTATATAGTGTTTTTTTAGACTTCAGTCAGTCAGTTATGTGCCATGCGTGATACACCCTTAGGCGATCATGTATTTTTCGATACATGACTGACGAGGCAGATTTTTTCCCGCAGTAGATGGCCATTTCTTTCTGCAGTAGACCAGTTGCCATCCAAGACTCTAGAACCCGGTCTGAGGAGAAGGGTATTAGCACGTAAGTGAATGTAATGGATTCGACTGGAATTCGAACTCTGCTCTCCAATTCCTCAATCCGAGCCGCTATCCATTAATCTACCGTAGCATAAGCATAACAAATTCACGAATTTCGACGAAAAAATCCTTTAATAGTTGTTTTGTTTAATTTGTAACGTATATAAATACAGATAGAAAAAATCAAATGCTACTAAGATATAGAGGGTCATAAAACACTGCCCGACGTCCCCAATCAAGTTCTTCTAGTGTCGGGGCTTCAGGTGGTTTGGGTGTTCGGGGGTAGTACGCGTCGGCCCTGACATTATAGACAGAACATGGGAACAAAGAAGACGTTTTATGGAAACTAGAATCTAGAAGGGAATTTACTTACAATCAAAAAGAGACAGTTGAAATTTCTGGGACACTTAATAAGGAAAAAGAGTTTGGAGAATCGGATACACGAAAATTAAAAAAATACTTACAACAGCAAAAGACAGGAAGCTGTGGAGAGCCATGATCCTCCACATCGTGAAGAGGCTCTGCATGAAGTATGAGGTAGGTAAAGAGATCGGCAATGTAGATTTTATCCAGTGGAAGTAAGATGCAAACGCTACTGTTTCGGCCAACACACAGTTGTTAAATATTTAGATTTTGTCCTTCAACTAATGATTGAGCTTACGGACATGTCACACTGAAACACCCGTTCTCGTTCGGTCAGGTTAAGCAACGCCAAGCCTGGTCAGTACTGAGATGGATGACTGGGAATACCAGCTGTTGTAAAAGCTTCGATGTGCAGTTGGTGTAATGCATAACCGCTCGGAACTGGGCCTCGGAGAGCTATTTTCACTGACCATTACAGCTAAGAACCGCCATACAGAAAATCGAATTATCTTCACTCTCTTCGTATTCCATTGGTAAAAAAGAAGTACCATGTAGACAGCTCCTTTCTGAAAACTGCTACTTCATGGAGAATATTCCTAAGAGGATGTTTCCCCAATCGTTACAAGCTTATGACCATATCGCGCAGAAACACCGGTTCTCGTTCGATCACCGAAGTTAAGCAACGTTATGCTTGGTCACTACCTAGATGAATCACCGCTTGGGAATATCAGGTACTGTAAGCTTCGATGTGTGGGTGGTTTAATGGATAACGGAATTGGAAATCGGAGATCCGAGTTCCAATTCAAGCGGGGTTCGTTATATTCACTTACCCGCAAATACCCTTGGAAAAGGGTATTTGCAGGTAAATACCCTATGGGTTAATTTGTAGGGCAGAGTTCTAATTCCAAGCGGGTTCGTTACGTGGAAATACCTTTGGGAAAGATATGAACCCAACTTTTCTCAGCCACCAGGCATTGAGTTAAATAGTAACTATCATTATCTCAAAAAGATTCTTAAAATCCAAAAATATTTGCGGGCTGTAAATAACCTGCAAAAGGTTGATAAGCCGTAAAAACAAATCTACTATTTAGTCAGTTAATGATTGAATCAGGGTTATGGTCATCACGTTGAAACAAGTTCCTTCACGATCGCCGAAATTAAGCAACGTCGTGCCTGGTCAGCACCTAGATGGGTGACCGTTTGGGAATACCAGGTGCTGTAATTTTGGATGTGTGGGTGTTGTAATGTATAATGGCTTGGAATTGTTAATCGGAGAGCAGAGTTTCAATTTCGTTATATTTACTTACGCACAAACACCTTTGGGAAAGGTATGAATTTGCTTTTTTCCCCTCAGCTATGGGTTAATTAGTAAGACTAAACAAGTATTATCTCCCTCCCAAATTCTTGCAGACTAAAAATTATTTTCTGACTTTAAATAACTTGCAAAGTGTTGATAAGCCGTAAAATACGAATCAATCAATAAAAGATTGAGTCAGTTGTTGCGTCTTGCATTTGGGATTGAATTGCTTTCTAAATGCTAAATTTTTAACCTATCAACAGATAGCCGACAAAATAATCATTGACGCAGAACTAAATGTCACTCATCCGATATGAAAAAAAAAAGAAGAAAGCTGAACGCTCGAATGGCGCGGAATTAATGGGACGCGGAATGAAAAACGGATGTGAAACCAATTGGCCAATGAATGTTTTTGTTTCACATTTGATGTTCATGCTCATTTTCAACCAATTAAACTTTTAATGAGAACGTGCGGGTAGCGCAATGGATATCAATGTGAAATCAGTGAGACGAGTTCAAATTCCGAGCTAGTCTGTTGTGTTCACTTTCACACAAATAACAATGCGAAAGGTATGAATTCGCCAGTTCTTCCTCCACCTATTGGTTAAATAACAGGGTATACTGAGTTATCTAATGGCTGGCAATAAGTCTAATAAAAAGAGAACTCTGAATCCTAAACCGTAGACAGCAGGAAATAACCCAGTTAAACTTCCAAAGAACGCGTTATTTCACAGATATAATGGTGTTGATGGTTTTATTTTTTTACGGTTTATCATCCTTTGTATGGTATTTGAAGCTAGAAAATATTTTTAGATTATAATAATTTTTTATGGTAGTAGGGAGATAATAGTAATTTACTGATACAAGTCCTTTTATTTAACGCATAGTTGGGGTGGAGAAGAAGTAGATTCATACTTTTTCCAGTGGTATTTGCGCGTAGGTGAATAAAATGAACCCGACTGGAATTGGAACTCGGCTTTTCGATTTCCAATTACCAGCCGTTATCTATTACACCGCCCGCACATCGAAACTTATAGCACCTGGTATTCCCAAGCGCTCACACATCTAGGTACTGACCTGGTTCGACGTTGCTTAACTTCAGTGATTGGTTGAGAATCGGGATCACAGATAATAGATAAAAGGAAGCTGTGGAGAGTTGTGGAATCGTGGATTCCACCCTTTTGCGTGCGTGCGCGCGTATTGCACCCCTTCCTTTCACATTTGGCTAGATATAGCAGTAAACCGCTGACGTGAGGAAGGTTGCTAGCTACTCCTGATACCGTCTAGAATCAGAATTTGAAATTTTCCCGCGCATTTCTCTGACGTCACTGACAAACTTCGTTTTTCAAGTCAGTCGCCGCCTGATTTTCAAACTAGAAGGTTGACTCATTTATTCCGTGCCCCTAACCCATACGCGGGCCGGAATATCTTAACTAACCTAAATTTCAACATGTCGTGTGATTACAACTTCTCTTTAAACAACTTGTTTGAACCTTCCTCCGTTTTTCTACTAGAAAACGTAGAGTATGAACACTGTCGACATCACACTTTTCCAAGACCAATTCCTCGTCTTGAAGTGAACAACATGTTTGAACCTTCTTCATTTTTTACCAGAGTCTACGACACGGTCGTCAGCACACTTTTCCAAGACTAATTTCCTCGTCTTGATGCGAACAGCTCAGAATTTTCCTTCACTGAAGATTGATGAACTTTTCATACACTTCTCTCGATTTCTAACCTTCACGAACCAGTTTAAAAAAAATAACATTACACATACATTAATAAACCTCGCAGTGAGTATTTTTTTCCTTATTGTGTACGCATTCACCTTTCGTACAAAAAGACAATATTCCGGAACCTTTCATTCTGAAGAAACTTTTCCCGCCTTAGCCATCTTGGTTTTTTGTTTTGGCGCGGAACTTTTAACATTCTACTAGTCACTACATAATAAAATTTACCTACTGGCTAAGAACCGCCTTTGCTTTTCTGATGGTCCCTACTGAGTGAGACCAAATATTTGTTATTAAAATAAAATTTCATATATGTTTTGCACCAGACTCGTTTTGTCGTTTTCTCCTGGCTATCTATATTTTACTATTTTGACCCTTTTTCCTCACTAAAGATCACACATTTATTATTTTTACTTTGTTGGTGGATTCGGTAGTCGTAAGTAGTGTTTGGCACTAGGCCACCTTTTCGTAAACCAGTACTGCATGCTACCGGGCCCGCAACAAGTTATGGCCGCCCACTTCCTGAAGGAATATGATATTTTAAAAAATAATTTTAATAGGTGCCTGTCCAAAATGGTTACAGCGTTACCAATCATACTCAGGTTTGAATGGTTCGTAATATCACGGTCGATTTTCGAATGAGGCGACTTCTTTATAATATCAACTTGGGAAGATCATCCTAGCGTGTAGCACCGTTGTGAAGTACCTAAAAACCATATTACACCTTTGAGAAAAATTGTGGAGGCGAAACTGATAGAAGCCCTTTAGCTCTAGATGTTTCGATAAAACTCCCCAAAAGGCTGGCCACTCGCTGGAATGTCAGTCAATTAAGTGCCATACGTGATACACGCTTGGGCGATCATGTTTTTTTCGATTCATGACTTACTAGGCAGAATGTTTTCGCGCAGTTGGCTTCCGTTTCTTTCTGCGGTAGACTGGTTGTCAAACATTCTGTATTTCTATTCAACCCATACCCGGGTTTGATTTGCGCTTAAGTGGATGTAACGAACTCGATGGGAGCCGAAGTCTGCTCTTCAATTTCTCATTGCGAGTCGTTATCCATTACACCAAACTGTTATAGACAAGCGTATGGTTGCAAGAAAGAAATACGACAACAGCAGAAATAGATTTACGTGGTTTATTTCAACAGGAACATGTGGGTTTGGGACAGCTACCTTGTGGTACAGTTCATAAGCCGGCTTCGGATCTAGGTCGATCTCTCATAGTAGTTCACACATGTTGACGGTGGTTGATGCTCTCCTGCTGTCAGCTGCTGACCGTGACAGGTCTCTACCCTGGGCACCTGTGGACTATATTTAGTCGTCCCCCCCCACGAGGGCGTCATGTGGCACAAGGCCTTTTTAACGTGGGCATTTCCGAGCCATTAGGCTCGGCCAAAAAATAGCTCAATTTGAACCCGTATAAACGGGTTCAGGGCCGGTTTTACCTCCCCGAAGGAGACTCCGCCCTTCGGAGTAGCCTCCTTCGGGTTCCTCTCCATCAGAGACAGAGAGTTGAACCGAACCGTCGCTCAGAATGTGGACTGCCTGTTGAACTTCCGTGTGACCCCTTTTATAGCGTTTTTTTATGGCTTAACAGGCTCGAGAAACGAAGCGAGTATAATTAGGAGGGAAGCATTTTTATTGGACGAAAAATAGAGCACTTTAAATATTATTTTATTTTTCGACCGGAACACGTGTGTCGGGACATTTGTAAATGAAGATAATGGTCATTTTGTGACGGGGTTTTGTCCCGTTCACATCCGGTTCTCGCTCTTGAGTATTTGCCTGTAAATCAGCCGAGATATGTCTTATTTTATTTTATAACAAAACATTGACATTCTTATGAAAATAAGGATTAAGTCGGAGGAGTTTTACAATTTACTGTAGGCGGAAATGACGCAACATGTTTTAATTCTGTATTTCAAATTTGAGATGAGTAATTTTCAATATACTTTTTAATTCATTCGAACTACTGTCTTGATCTTCATTACATTATTTTAGACACAGTGTTTAGGCTAAAGAAAAATTTCGTTAGAAACAAAGAAAAGAGTATTGAACTGTTACGTGATATCTGTCCTCCTCTATAGCAGCGAATGTTGGACAATCTCCACAAAGATGAAGAAAAGACTTAAAGATATACAAGTGTGGTTCTACCGAAAGTTGCTGAGGATACCATGGGCCAAACATGTGAGCAACGACGGATTTTTAGAGAAAATGGAAGCCAAAAGAAAACATACTTAACATCAGGAAGAGGCAGTTGAAATTTCTGGGGCACGTAATGAGGAAAGAGGGCTTGGAAAATCTGATACACACAGGACAGATTGAGGGAAAGATGGATAGAGGAAAGCAGTGTGAAACATACTTGATGAGCTTGAGTAAATGAATGATAGAATAAGGTTCGAGAGAAAATAAAAAAAGACAAAACTAAAAGGGACAGGAAGATGTGGAGGGCTATTATCGCCTACGGCTCTCTACAAATTCCTATCTCGAGTGGCTCTTAATAAATTTTCTCCCTTTGCCAAGGGTCCGACAATCCATTCACACAAGTTCGTCAGGTAAGTGGCTCGATGTCTTACCCTATCTTTCTTAACTTCACTATACACTGTACCACTAGAAGACAGTAAACACACACACACACACACACACACACACACACACACACACACACACACACACACACACACATATATATATATATATATATATATATATATATATATTAGTAGTAGTAGTAATCTTATAACTATAAGAAATTATACTCGTTCGAAAAACCTTCAGTGTTTTGATTTGCAAATAATCAAACCAATACCAAGGGGGGGGGATGTATGGAAAAAGAAAGAACCAAAAACTTGTACGTTAGCCGAAAATAATCGTCTAGCATGCAAGTCCAAAGCCCAAAGAAAAAAAAAAAAAAAAACGATACGAGTACGCAAAATAACTAAATAAAGTACTCAATACAGTAAGTAGAGCAGACCTAGTTAAACATAGAGAGCCAGACAAACCTACCAATGTTTCACCTAAGCGGATCATCAGGGAAGGCTGGTTATATATATATATATATATATATATATATATATACTACGCCACCGAAGGACACTAGTGGTGTATGTTGTCTTTTAGATTCATTGTCAGAATGATTCGACAATTGGATATCATTTTGGGTTTGTACCATTTTTCGTAATTTTCTATTTCA